CAATTTGTAAAAGTGAAAAAAAACCACATCTACCCTCTGGATGGTTATTCGTCAGTGTACGTTTCTATGAACATATGAGGGAAGGCCTGGAAGGGTACACATCAGCCTATTAACTACTATTGCCGGGAGGAGTAATTTTTTGCCTCTATGGATCCTTGAATCGCTCTCTTGATTACAATAACTAAGTTACTTTTTTTTTTTTTAAGTTGGAGAGAAGTTTAGTATAAAGGTGGGAGTGGTGAGAGTGAAAAGGGAATTTGTTCAGGAGGCTGGAGGAGCAAACAGTCCTGGGAGAGTCCAGAGACTGGATGGTGGTGGGCAGGAAGAGGGCCTGGCCTGGACACTGGCATGGGTGGGGAGGCAGGACCTGGGGGCCAGCCCGTGTCCAGCAGCTGACTTAATTCAAGGAGCTTTTCCAAATCACCCTCTGAAAAGTCCAGAGACGGGCATGGAGCACTGGGTAGCCTGTCGTGGGGAGAATTTAAACTGCCAGACTTTAAAGAAAAGCTACCCCAAAGTATTAATTCAGAATAAGGTTATTTTGAAGGATTCAATGAAACCCATTGGAGGAAGCCTTTGTCCAGGCAGGAGAAAATGAATAATACCTAGCAGTAGGTGGTTGGCATGCTGTAGACCGTGTCTTAATTATATTCTCATTTCACACAAAGTACCATCCTAAGAAGTGGATAGGATTATTCCTATTTTTCAGAGGAGAAAACTGAGGTATAGATGGAGCTCAGCAAGTCACCCATGATTATGCAAGTGGTAACCAAGGGCTTCCAGTTCCAGAGTCCCCGGCTCTTGGAAGCCACACTGAAGGGGACACATCCTTCCAGGGAGCTAATCTAGACTGAAACGTTCCACAGGCTCCTAGCCTCTGAGGGTGGAGAGGGGACAAAGAGCCCCTTGCAAGGCAGGGCTTGTCGGAGCCCTAAGAGCTCAGAGCTGTGGCTCCCGGACCCAACTGGGTTGTGAGGGGCTGGGCTGGGCTGGGCTGGGCTGTGGTTTCCTAGTTCCGTCGTTGGCCAAGGCCCTACCCAAGGAAGCCCCTCTGGGTCTTCTCTACGCTGTTGCTGTTGTCCCTGGTAGGGATGGGAGTCCGTTGGAGAGTACAACTATAGTATTACAAAGTTCTCAGATTCCTAGCCTAGGGAATTGAAGAGGCTTGGGATGAGGGTTGAAGGGTCTTCTCCACTGCTGGTGTCCTCACCAATGGTCTACCCTCTCCCATTGACTTCCATGCTAGGATCAGGAGATGAGGGGAAGAAATGAATGCTTCCTTTGGTAGATGTTGGGAGGGGGAAGGAGAAGCTGGGCAGTGATCCTTCCTTTGAGGGTCCGGGGAATGGGCTGATAGATTGTTCCAGAAAGTGGACCCCTCCCAGACCACCCCGCCTGCAGCCGTGCTTATATGGGGGCTGGCAGGAGCAGAAGGTCAAAGACCTTCAGGAGAGCCGCGTTGAGGGATTTGGGGGGCATTTTGAAAAGGGGGAAATCTGCGGTTCCATCCCGTCTGGTCTATCTGATTTCCTGGGACAGGCCCAGAGCGAGGACTGGAGGCAGATGCTCCTGCCTCCAGCTCCAGTTGGGGGGATGGGTGGGGGTGGGGGCAGCACCAGGGTGTCTCGGGCCCTGCGCCCTGCGGCCCTGACCTTCTGGGTTCAGGCTCCAAAGAAAGGATCTTTGAAACTACAAAATGCGAATCTAGGGGGCGGTCGTTCTTGTGCTTGTTTGCGCTCTGAGCATCCCAAATGTGTATAAATCCCGATTTCCTCTCTTATCACTTTTTGAGGCCCCCCCGGGCTCTGTGGTCTCCAGCTCTCAGTTTCTCCAAGATCTCCGTCTGGGTTTCAGAGGACCGCCTTCCTTCCTCCCCTCTGCTAACTCTACTTCTGGGTCTGCTTTCCCCGTCCCTCCCTCATCCCCGCTGTCCCTGGGGTGTGTCTCTCTTCTACTTCCTGCTCGGTAGTCACAGCGAGGATCCTCGTTATACTCAAACGTTATTTGGAGTCTATTCGGACTTGGGATGGAGTGCCGAAAGTCCTACCCCAATCCCAACAGCTCTTCTGGAGGCCTGGAAGCCAGCGCGAGGGGGCCGCTCAGAGAGCCCCAGGCCGTGGGGCGAGTGGGGACGCTGCTCCAAGGTCGAGGCAGGGAGGTGGGAGGATGTCCCGCAGAGCCTGACGCCCATCTCAGCGAGGGGACACGCTGGCCCTTGTTAATCGCATCTCCCTGAAGTGGCGCCAGGGCATAGCGCGTGGCTGCTTAGAAACAGTAATATCGACTAACATCTGGGGTTATCATCATCATTAAACAGCAAGTTACGGTTGAAGACGGCGGGATAATAATAATTTAAACAATCGCCACGATTAGAAAACGTTCCCCGACAAGCCGGATGTAGAAGTCTATATTTCCAAGACACCCCCCAACCTCCGTTCCTGGAGATCTCTCCAAGCGCCAAGAGAGCACAGTTCCCGGCCTTGGGCAGGGCTATGGGAACCTCGAACAGGGCACCGAGGCTTCTGGACTCCCCCTGGCGATTTGGGACCTCGCGGTGTGGGTGCGTGGAAAGACTCAGTGCTGGGCGCCCTCCCTGCAGGGCGGTCCCACCTGAGAAGCAGTGAGACCCGCAAGAAGGAGCAAGGGGTTCCTAGATTGGAAACCTACTGGCAAAGCAAACGGACCCGCGTCCCCAATCCCCGCCTCCCTGTCTGTTGTGCGCCCTCCCTCAGCCTCGCCGCCTCCCAGATCTCGCAGAGATTTCTAGGTGGGCAGGCCGGGCTCCGAGGGGAGGAGCGTCCTCCGTGAGTCTCCGGGGTGTCCTTTATCCCCTCCCCAAAGTCCGAGGACAACGACGGGCGCGTTCGGTGTTGGCCCAGGCGGCTCCCAGTTCCAGGCTGGAAAGATACGGGGTAGGAGGCGGAGCGCCTGGATGGCAAAAATGACGGGAGAAGACCTTCCCTCTTTCTCCTTGGTCTCCTCCCCTTCGTTAAATAGATTCCGATTTTAAATAGGCTCAGACGTTTTCATTCGAATTCCAGGAGCTGAGTTTGGGTTAGAATCCTCCTATTTATACGTAAAACCCGAAAATAACCATTGAAACGAAACGTCCAAAACGCAACTCTTTTTCCAAAACAAAGAGCGTTCCCCGGGTGGGCCTGCGCGGATCTCCTTGGGTTTTTGGACTGAGAACCAAGGATCGGCGGAGGAGGGGTCTGGTGGAGGGTGGCGCTGGAAACTATTCCCCGGAGTGGCCCCGCACGGCGCGTGCGTGAGCTGGCGGCCGTAATCTTTGCTGCCATTAGGAATCCAAGCCGCTTCCAGCGCTCGGGGCGCTGGGACGCATGTGTTGCTGGAATTCAATCCGTGGGGGGAATTTAGATTGGGCTGCGACCCACTGGGTTTGATTTATGAACTGTTACACTAGCGATTGTTTACACATTGCATTTCAGAGCCCAGGCGCACCCTCCCCGCGGCGGGTGGCGGGCTCGTTGCTGCGGGAAACCTGCAGCAGACCCTCTGGTCTCCCTCCTTCCGCCTCTATCCCCCACCACCTATCCCAGGGGTCCCCGCAGCGCCCCCGGCTTTCTCCAGGAAATCAGATTTCGATTTCGTTGAACCTGGAGACCTAGGCGCAGTTCCGTCTCCGCCAGATTTACTCCAGGCCTGCAGCCCCCCAGACCCTGTCGCCTTGGCTCCTGTTTACTCCGGAATGTTTACTTCTCGGTAAGGCCACGCGGGGTCTATAAATAGGAGAGGTGGAAGCAGCTCGACTAGCAGATCAATCGGGCCCGGTCTCCTCGCCATTTCAGCTGAGCTGTCTTATTAATTATGAAAGGATTCACCTGATCCCTGCCAGGGAAAACAGCCTCTCGGCCCCTTTGCTCGAGCCCTTAATGGCGGTTCCTTCGCAATCTGCCTCTGGCCACCGCAGAGGAAGAGGCGAGTCGTGGTTAGGGCTCCGACCCGCCTGGGACAGGGGCAGCGGCCGGCCACAGGCATTCTGTCTGCGCGTGCTTTCTTAGCTGCGCGCAAGCCCAATTCTTCCCAAGTGCACCTAGGAAGAATCTCTGCGTTTTAACTCCTTAATTTAAAAACAACTTCCTTTTTATCTTCGTTAAGTAAGCAGAACCTTGGTAAATGACGAGATGTCCTAGGTGTGAAGGATCTTCTTGTAGACCCCAAGTCCGCTGTCAGGCGACTTGGGAACAGGTGCATGGTATCACCTTGGCACTCAGATACCCCGAAAACTCGACAGAGAAAGCAGGCTTGGGGTAGGAAACAAACTGGACACCCCCATTTCAAACAATAACTTTTATTTTATACTTTTCTATACTTTGTAGCAAATCTTTTTTTTTTGCTGAATTTAATTTATAATAAACTTTTTAAATTACATCTCTCTTTTTTTTTAAAATCAAGGCTCTTTTATGTCAAAATCTTTTTTTAACTATATTTTAGATTAACATTTAACATCCCCCCCTTGTGATCTATTCCGTTGGGTATTCAGGTATTACTGTATGCATAACAGCTAAAACGAGAGAGGAGAGAAAATAAAGGCAGTGAACTTGGAAAAATGCGTCAACCACAGCAGGTAAAGCTAACCTCTCAGTGACCTTAGCAGCATTTCTTCTGGAAGCCTTTACCCTCGCATCAGAGATTCCCTCACCCTCTTTCCTCTCTCTGTCTCTCTCCTATTCTTAACACCCAAAGCCAACAATCCGTCCTTTTGCTTTTCGGGAGGAGAAATGTGCGGTGGAAATGATCAAAACAAGAGACTGTGGAAGAAAGACGTGAGCGTGAATTATTCACCGGATACTTCGCCCTCGTGGACATCGCTCTTGAATTCATTCCCCTGGCCTTCTCCTCTTCTCGCTTTCCTATTAGGAGGAGCCCATCATTTTTCATGTATTAACATGATTAATATAGTAGGTGGCCCAGGGCCGTTCCTGAGATTCTTTTGCCAAAAAAAAAAAAAAATTAAAAATTAAAAAAATAAAAAAGAAATGGGGTGAGTTTCCCGTTTTCTTATTTTTGTGTGAAGACGGACTAAAGCTGAGGTCCGAGTTTGGCTGTGCTTGCTCGCTCACTGATTGGTAACATTTGGCAAAGAAAACACAAGAAACCGAATGAAATTTAAAAAAAAAAAAAAAAAAGAGAAATCAGGATTTCCCACAATCCTAGATGAGTGTTTTCAGCATCACAGAGAATCACACAACATCCCCAAAGAACGAATGGATCTTCCTCTCGATTTCCGGGAGCATGGAGTGAGTGTGTGGGTGGGCGCGCGTGGGGGGACCCGGCCCCGCGCTCAGAAGGAAAGCCAGGTCGCTAAAGCTGCCGAGAGAGACACCAGGAGCAGGGGGAGCCCCGGGAGCAGGGACCCCGCCGCCCCGTTGCCGCTGCCGCAGAGTTCGAATAAGCTGCCTTGAATGTTGAGGTTTTTGGACTCTTTTCTCAGTTTATCCCACATATCTTTTGCCCCTTCCTGGCAATCCGTAAGGGCTGTGACCGTGCAGCTGTGGAAATCCTCCCAGTATCTGGCGAGCAACAGAACAAAACAGAAGAAGCAGGTTCACTTTGGGCGCAGGGAGGACTCCGGATCTGCGCCCCTGCGCCCGTGCGCCCCTGCGCCCCCCTCCTCCAGACCTCGCAAACCTCCCAGGGCGCTGGCTTCCTACCTCCCCACACTGCCCTGCCGCCAGGACTGCCCGGACGTGGGCCCTCGAGGGACCTCGGCCCACTCTAGAAAGCCGCTGTCCTAAGGGAGAGGCCGCCCCCTCCCCCGGCGGCTTTTCCCTCCCGGGTGCCAGGTGGGGACTGGGCAGCCGGGAGGCGGGTCGCACCCGCTGCGTCGCGCTGGTCGCACCCGCTGCGTCGCGCTGGCACCTTGGCCAGCGCAAACAGATTGTTCGCCTTCCTAGGGGAAAGCTCGGGAAACACTGCTAAGCCTTGCAAGCTGCCGCCCATTAATGCCTCTTAGCTTGCAAGATGGGTTACTTGCTCCGAGCACGGCCCTCCCGGCTTGGCTTCTCACATTCTCCTCCCCCTGGCCCCTTCTGTCTCCCTCCTTCCCGCTGCCGAGCTCTCTCGCCTTTAGCCCTCACTCTCCCTCCACCCGTTACCGCCTCCGTTTGCTTTTGTTCCCCTTTCTCTTATTTTCCCTTTCTTTCCTTTCTCCTCCCC